ACACAGACAGTAATGTGCACTGATTTGTGAGTGCATACACACACACACACACTAATGGACTGACAGACGAACTTCATCCAGACAGACAGCAGGCATGAGGAGGAGGAGGAGGAGGAGGAGAAGGGTACCTTTCTTAAAGAGCGCGCGGGGAGAGCTGGAGGGAGGTCGCTGACCTGGTGGTGGAAAGCGTCAAAGTGCATCGACAGGTGTTGCCCTACAGGGGGAGACACAGCAGGACTGACTGAGAGAAACTCGCACACACTCACACACATTTCAGACCAGAGAGGAAGAGGAGGTGGGAGGAGGGGCAAGGGGGAACAAAGGTCAGAGAGTGGAGAACAAGAAGGTAGAGGCAGGTGGGTGGGGTTAAAACAGGAAAAGGGGGGAGTTGGAGCAGTGTGTGGAGGAGGGGAGGTGTTCAGCTCTGATAGCATTTAAGTTGTTTGATTGCAGTGGTATAAAGTGTGTGTCTGTGTGTGTCTGCAGTGAAAACGAGATCAAATTAACCAAAGTTCACTCTCAGAGAACGCTTCCTTTCTTTCTCTCTGTGCTTCGAGCCCTGCAGACGTCTCCTCTGAGGTTGCAGGAACCACCAAACGCTTCATAAACACTTCATGTACCTGAACTTTCACTCTTGGGACTCAAAGGTAATAACGCGATTTACAAAACCGAGAATGAGTGTTCGGTGGTTTTGAAAGGTTTCTGTGAGGGACTAATACGAGTCTGCGTCGTCACAAATACTCCTGAATGAAAAGCAGAGCTGCTTTGAATCCCCGATCATAGAGGTCACGGAGAGGAGAGGCCCAGCGCTATTCTGTTAATACTTTCTCAGCCAATCAAAGCACAGCTTGCATAAAGGGGGAAAAAAGCTAAAACAGCTGTTTTCAGACAGAAGACAAACTGAGAGGCTGCACCGAGACCCACCATTAGATACACGGGGATCATGAATCATGCGGAGCTAATCTAACGGAGGTACTAATGAACATGACAGAGGAGATGAATCTCCTCTGAATCCTGCTCAGAAAACAGAGTCATGTCTTCTGACCCGGTGCTTAAAAAACAGATTCAGTTCCACAGCCAGGAAAACGTTACAGAGTCCCCCGCACAAACACACTGCAGGGGAACCTGTGGGGATTCCCCACACACAAAAACCGACACACGCAACGATGCACAAGAATCAACGCTTCGCTCTCGCACAACAAAAACCCAGCAGGCGTCCACGGATGACACTTTCTGGGCTAAAGGCGTTCAGTTGCATGGCTTCATGTCCAAACTTGGTTAAAAAGTGGAGTTCAGTAAATATCTAGTAAACATTGTCTACATTAGACGTTAATTCTGTAAGTCTAACACTGAAGTGTTTGTCTGTAGCTGTGAGCTGTGTGTGAGGGGGACAAACGGTACATTCTCTTGGTGGTCATGATCATCCTGCATGTGTGGTTCTCCCTGGGTTGCATCTCACTGACACACTCGTGCAGCTGTTTTTAGGATTATTGTTTCACAGTACGAAGGTTCAAATCCACTAAAGAGGAAGTCCTTTCATGTTTCAGACGGTTTTAGATGTAAAAGAATGACATAAAAAGATTTAACGCTTCAGCATCTGGCAAAGTTTGATTTATGCTTGGTGGGAAATCAGTGCACAATACACACACACACACACACAAACGCACACACACACACAGTAGTTTCATACCTTGAGGCAGGTTGCGTGGTGGAACAGGTGGTGCCATGACACTGCCAACGTGGGAGGAAAGGAAAGGGAGGGCTTCTCTGGTACCGCTGTCCAAACTCCAACTGCTGGGAGTGGTCAGGACTGGAGGGCAGAGAGTGAAGACGGGTGGAGTGGAGAAAAAAAATAGATGAGTTTTACAGAAATATTCTGTATTGTGTGTGTGAGTGAGTTTGCCGACCTTTCTCAGCCACAGAGAGGTTTGGGTCGCTGCAGGGTTTGCATGGACCGATCACCTGGTGGAACAAAGCTCGCTGGAAGTTTGGTGGCTGAGGAGGAGACCATGAGCTCGTTAGAGAGGACCACAGCGATCACCTGAATCAGACTTTAATCCGTCTTCAGCTCAGTAAAGAACTGAACATGATTGCATTCGAAAATATTTAGAAGAATATCTGAAGGTAGGTTGAATCCATGAAAAGCACCTGCAGCATCACAGGTCAGCTGATCACAGTGCAGCACAAAGAAAACTAATCTTTGTGCACAAAACAAGAGCTTCCAGTTTCCTCTCCTGTCAAATCCCACTTTACCCTCTGCATGTGACGTACATGCAACTTCTAATAAATCAAATTCGTCAGACAACTGTCACTGCTGTCGTTCAGGATCCCCCCTCCACTGCTTTACCTGTCCATTGTCTGTGATGTTGGTGTACATCGCGCTGCTCGGCCTCTCTCTGTGCGGCGGCAGCAGCATCAGCATCTCTCTGTTGTGTCTGTATTTGTCAGGCAGAGACGGAGAGCCGACTGCAGATGGACAGATTACAGAAGTGAGACATGTGTGAAATACAAAATATCAGAAAGCTAAATATAGCTTTAAAAATCTTCCATGGGCCGCTAACCTCTGATGGTTGAGGGGGCGGAGTTTATCATCTGAGAAGGCGCAGAGTGGGTGGAGCTAAGACTGGAGGAGGACAGGCTCGCCTGCAGTTCCAAGAAATTCAAACGCAGTATTGTACATATAGATTAGAATAATGTGAGGTATTTGAGCAGTGATGCTCAGCTGTGCAGAAAAAGCTGGACATGATAATATTACAGAGTTTTATATTCATGTGTGATATATGGAGTGTTTCTTGTTTCTTGCAACAAGTGCGTTTCCTCTCTGCGAATCGCGTTTTTCACTGACCTGCATGCGGTAGAAGTCCTCGGGGTGTTCCACTACCATGCCGTCAGCCAGGATCAGCAGATTGCCAACGTTTCCCATCTCACTGGAGTTGTGAGAGGAGAGAGAGGAGGAGGAGTTGCGCACAGGAGTCAGAACAGCTACGGGACTGGGAGGAGGGAACGAAAGGAGGAAAAAAGAGGAGAGGAAACAGGGAGGGTAAAGAGAAAGAGGGCGGGGGGAGAAGAGGGAAATTCCAGGTAGAAGAAAAGAAAGGAAGGAAGGCAGGAAGGGGAAGGGCCGAGCAAACCAAAAAAGAAGAAGCGAAAACCAAACAGCCGGCATGCATGAGGTGATGCGGTGAGAATGAGAGCGATGGTCAGCCATGAGCATGCAGGAAGCACCATGCAGGAAGCACGATGCAGGGTGGTGTCGGTGAAGGATGAAGGAGAGAAAGAGAAAATGGCAGACTTTCAGAAAGTGCGATGTGAGCAGAGGACAGCAGAGATGCTGCGAGGAACTTCTCAAAGATCATTAATGAGACACAGCAGGTGAATCACAGATGGAGGTGAAGCCAGTGAGAAGACGTGTGCTGACTGTGAAGGATGGTTTCTGCCGTGTTCACCACATTTAACAGTTTCAATTAAGAATAAGATGAAAGTAATTAACTGCTTTGTCTCTCTTGATCCGTGCCCCTTTGACCCGACCCTCTATGCAGACTTAGAGGAAACTGACTTTGAGGATTTTTTAAAACCTTTTCAACATGTTTAGAGACCCTGAATGAGGTTTTGATGACATGGTGGTGCAGACTGAGGAGTGTATCAGGGTGTAGCTGAATAAGATTAAAGCAGGAGAGTCTAACGGGCACTTTAAAGGATGACGTGAGGGTTAAAAAAGTCTCTGCGTGTTGCTGACCTGTGTCGGTGCATCAGTTTGAAGCTCTCGGGGCTCATGGGGCCGTGAGTGGCCAGGATTCCTCTGGGTGTGTTGGGCCCTGAACCGGACTTGTCTAAACCAGGCAGACCCTGCAGAGACACATAGAAGCACTGCTCTGAATATTCACACTGCCCTCGGGTGTCCACACAGACAGAAGAATCACTGGTTGGAACGGTAAAGGTAAAATTATGAACAGAGGTGAAATGTTCAACGAGATTCTTTGCAGTCTCTAAGCTTGGTGCACACTAACATGCTCTTTGAAGAAGAAACGAATCCATCCATCCTTCCAGCATGTTTACACCGTAATGAATCTTCTTCTACACTTGTTCATTTTGGTTCATGAGCTACATCTAACAACAGCTCCGCGTACGTATTTGTACCTCCTGAGGTTGTAATATTATATTATTTTGTGTGCTCACATGGCAGAGGCTGCTCCTCATCATCTGGAACTGATCTATCAGCTTCTTGTGCAGGGGACGCATTTCTGGGTGCACCAGCTTCTCGTGCACAGCCAGACCGACTCCCAGGATGTGAACCTGTGTGAAAACCAGTTTTTAAAAACATCAGCGGATGAGATGAAGAACCCTGTTAGTATGAGCAAGAATGAAGACGAGGTTGTTGCTCACGTTGGTCTACAGACAAATCCTTCCTTTGGAAAACTTAATGCACGTGTTTCACCTGCTTTACTTTTGCCTGCTTCATGTCAACAAATGTTTTTCTACTGGATCGAAATAATCTGACATGGGAGAGGGGGCGAGGTTAGGGGGGGCATCTCCTCCTATCAGCAGCTGGGGCTGAAAGTATTAGCCCCCCAGGAATTATGGAGCATTTTGCTAAACTTCTTCCCAATTTTTGCAGCATTGATGAAACTTGATATAATCAAAGATTCACCAAACCTGTAGCTTTTGGGACATTTTGTAATATAAAATACATTTTTAGTCTTTATATCAAATATAGTTAAAAGTAGGGTTGCCAAAAATATTAACATGTGAATGTTTGTTTTCAAAAAGAGCGACACATCACAGCCTGACAGCCCGGTGGCTATTAATGGCCACGGGGCTAATCACTCATTTCTTTCTTGTTTTGTATCCATGAAATATCCTGATTAAACTTAAACATTGTTATTTTGTTAACAGATACACTATAAAAAACAAAGACTTGTTGTTAATGGTCATTTTCTTTCCTTCAGTTCAGTGAAAGCATGAATGATAACGTCTGCATGCAGATATATGAAAACAAAAACTATAGATTCAACTATTACAGGATTCTGAGGTTTTTCTTCAATCGTGACATTTGTCTCACGCTAAAGGTCAAATTCTCCACATGGTTCTATCTGAACACACTTACAGCTCTATATGTGTTTCCACTGAAGCACATATAGAGCTTTAATTTGAGTATGTGGAGCCAACTTGGTCTATTTGGCATCTCAGGACAAAAAGGCAGAGCTGTGTTATTAAAGCTCTGCAGGAACGTCAGCAAACGACACCTCACCTGCTCCTGCATCAGGTCTTTAAGCTGTGTGATCTTCTCAGTGTCTTCAGGGTGGCTCGTGATGTACTCCTTATCAAAGAAAGCCTGCAAACGAAGGAAAAAAGCAAAGTCAAATTTATGGAGCAGTACTGTGGCATTACATCATCCCAAAACACCAAACCTTATAGAAATGAACATTTTTAGTCCATTTTATACATAATTTGTTCGCACAGATTCAGAGATTATGCGCACGGATGACAAACTGCTGTGCTTTGTAATAAAATACATGTTCTGTACTTTTGTTTATAAAAGGAAACATATCACTGAGGTTAGTGCATTCTGGACCGTTTGTGATGCTATGTGTGGATAAAATAACAGTGGTTTAATCATATTGTGGCCCCTCCTTCACCTGCCTATGAAACTGCCCACTGTGATGCGCTGTAAGATTTTACTGCTGTGACTCAGCCTCACGGGGGCCGATGACATGAAATTCCCTGTCTGTCTGACCTCTTGGTATCTGGCGATGCCTCCGTTAACAGCAGCGTCGATGACCCCGTTCAGCGTCATGCTGAGCAGGTTGATGTTGCCGTGCAGCTGCTTGTGTTGGTACTGGCTGATCAAAGTGCGCAGCTCCTGGTTCTTATTCTCCACCACAGAGATGGCGTTTTCTAACGGGCTCACCTCCACCTGAGAGAGAGACGCAGAGCGACGAGGAGCCAAAGTGAGAGACGCTCAGATTACTTCGTAGAATATATCATAACAGATTGTTGTGAGTTTATGGATCCTGTTTATCTTTACAGATCTCTTTCATGTGCTCACCAGCTCTCTCTTCTCCACCTCAAACCAGCGGGAAATCCCGGGCAGAGGGTGGGTGAGGATCAGAGTCGTCCTTTCTATCCACAGACTCTGAAAAACACGACAAGCAGTGAGACAAACAGTCCAGACTTCAGGAGGTTTGATGTAACATCAGCAGCCATCGAAATCTCCTGAAATATCTAATTAATGTTGAGAATCCGGTTTATTAATCATCTAAACTTCAGTCAAAATGAGCCATGCTGGCTGAATTTTCAGAGAGCTTCAGAAAAAACCCGGCAGATCTTAATGAACTGAAGCAACGCTGTAAAAAAGAGGTGGATTAAAACCCTCCACAACGATGTGAGGGAGTCGCAGAGTGTTTGATGCTGTAAGCTGCTGAATCACGAGGAAGGTTGAAGGAGAAACGATGTCTCTACTGTCAGGGATGGAAATGACAGAAAGCAAAGACAGACGAGGAAGATGTCAGATAAATTTCACAGGAAGGAACTTAAAGAAATGTAAAACTTGGATAAACAAGGCAAAAAAGGTTTTTGTAATGAGTCACTGGATATAAATGCTGTAAATCGTGTCATTCATAAGAATATAAACAAAGGCAGGTTCAGCTGGGTTGCAGTAAGTAAGTGTGTTGAGCTGATTCACTGAGTATCTAATAAAAGAATAAGAGGAAAAAGCACTTCCTGTCTCACTTTGAACTCATTGTCTCGATCTTTGGGGCCTTTGTGGAAGGGCCGGTCGTAACGGAAGCGGCGAACGTTGTTCACTCGATAGAAGCTCTTAATGCGGTCCGGTACTCGGTCCATCTGAAGGACGGTCACGCTGTCCGGCACCGGCGTTACTGCGTAGATCTGGAGGTCTGAGAGGAGGGAGGTCAAAGATATAACTGAGAGCCGATAACACAGCAAACAAAACGCTTCCATGGACGTCAGGCGTGGATTAATATTTAAATCGAGCGGTCTTTGGATGAACATCAGCTCTGCTGCTGAAGGATACACTGTGCATCACACTGCAGGATGGCCTCGTCTGGTTGATTGGGGTGCTGCATTGCAATGGCTTGCGGGAATTCTCCCAGCATCCTTTGCTGGAAGGCTTCTAACCTTTCGTAGTCATGACCACGGCAGACAAACTCTTTGTTCTAGAGGGAACGAATCAAAAACGAACAGAAAAGATTAAGATGTTCATTTTTTAAAGCAGAAATCTTGAAGCCACCTCTTAAGTAACAAAACCTGCAGTTCCTGTAATGACCACTTGAGGCTGGATCCCAAAATGCTCTACAGCAGCCGTGAACATGTTTACTTCTCGCTTCATAACAGCTGTTTACTGGGTCACTGAATTCAGATGTGGCAGCTCAATTATTAGCTTGACCAAAGTCCTTCTAGAAACAAGTCCATCCACCCTGCAGCCATCGAAATACCCTCAGAGAGTTTGTTCACTTTGCCCCAAAATAAGGTTTTAAAAAGCTTTTTTCCTGGAAGGCGTACGTCTTCTTCTGTGAGAAGTGAAACCATTAGAGCTTTCATTTTCTTTTCTGATGGAAAATTACTCAACTTCAAATAGAGTTAACGTGCATGTGTAAATGCTGCACAGTGACATCACTCACTCTGAGGAAGAAAGGGAACTTCCTGCCGTAGAAGCCGACCCTGAAGAACTCGGGCTCCAGGCGCTGCTGCTCCATGATGTTGTCGTAATAGGCCGCCTCCATTTTCTGCAGGTAAAGGTCGCGGGGGGAAGATTGTGAGATCTAATAATTAATATGTCCTTATCATATTAAAGATCTAAAAGATTCTTGATGTGAGTGTTGTTGGGGCTCACCCGTATCCAGCTGAGACTTTGGTAGTCATACAGGGATTCGTACTGGAAGGCCAGCTCCCTGCACAGAGGAATGCCGTACTCCCAACACTGAGGACACACAAACACACAAAACCATGGAGGCGCTGATGTTTGAAGCAAAACCACAACAACTAACAAACTGCCTTTAACTGCAGCGAGCTGATTGGTTACCAGATAACACTTTACATACTGACCCCGTGCTTAACAGAGAAGACGCAGCAAGTGTCTAATATGAAAGTAGTTGCTGCTGGCACCTTGTAAAACCAAGACTGGCACCCCGGTGTTAGATAAGAGAACATACCTTTATTAGTCCCACAAGGGGAAATTTCATAAGGCTGCTGACCTATTGCACGCAATGGCGGCGCCATCTTACCCTGCGACCATACATACATTACACAAACATCACATGGGGAAGACAGGTCAGAGAGGTATAACAATGGAAAATGCACCACATGAGGAAAGATAAGGAGAAAAAAAAATGTGCACATAGCACATGAAAAAACTCTTAATACACCAAAGAAACACACGACGAACAACAGGGGCGGGTAAAGGGTGAGAGACAGCCAGTGTAGACAGCACAGCCGGGCCTGCGTGCGCTGGTCTCCTTGATCCAGCGTCAGCATCGGCGGGGAATAAGCGTCGAAGGCGTTTGGAGGGGGATGAGTGTGTATCTGCATGTGTGTATATGTCTGTGTGTGTGTCCAGAGTTCAGCTGAGACAAACAGTCTTCCAGCCAACCCAGGTGGCCTTGCATAGAATGGGAAGAACAGACTAAACACAGTCGTTATCAGGGTGTTGTTGTTCAGCTCCAGCCTCGAGACCGCAGCTGACGCCGAGAGGGGATCCGCATGAAGTGATGGTGCTTTTTACTTTACTGCGAACAACTCATATGAATTTCAAAGCTGTTCTAACAGTCCGACACTGGTCTCTCAATCTCCCGTTGGAGAGCCGCGAGCTTCTCCATTAATGAAGCAGCTCGTGACCTCTAAAGCCCACGCTGACCGTGTCACGCCCTCACCTTCCCCTTGTTGAAGTAGTGGATGACTTTCCTGCAGAGTCCCTCCTTGCGGTGCCACTCGGTCTGAGAAGGATAATGCAGGAACTCCTTCAGAGGACGCTCGTCCCAGTGCAGCAGCTCCCAGTATAACAGCAGGGTGAACGCGGCCTCTGCAGACAAACAGCCCAGAGAGCGTCAGCCTGGTGTTTGTCACACGTTCTGCTCGTGTCCACGAGTGACTGATTCTGCTGTACCTGTGTAGTTCTCCGCCTGCAGATGCATGTCACACAGTTTGTGGATGTAGCGGATGTACATCTCCTCCTTGTTGATCTCTGACTTGTAGAAGTTCTGAGAAGAAACAAAACAGAGAATTAATGCACTTCCTGTGTTTATGCACTGATTTAAACCTGGGATGCCAAACGCTGCAAATACCCACTCGATAGGTGTGGAAATTTCTTAAAGAAGGGCAGAACTTAACTCAAGGCCAAGGTCTGAATCATCTTCATCATTTTCATGGACCTATTTATGGCATACTGTACCAAACCTATTTTGTTAGTTTGTTTGTTTGTAAAGGATCAAGTGTAGACCAACTGAATGTGGAAAACATGAGAATTATTCTTGAAGGCTGTTTATTTAGAACTGGACGGTTTAATAAATGTGAAGCAGCTTGGAAAGAAAAGTGTCTGGACTTGTTTAAGTTTTCTTGAAGACGTTTCACCTTCATTCAAGAAGCTTCTTCAGTTCTAAGAACAGCTGGTGCAGAGTCCCAGATTTCAGCCCATGGGGGCGTCTCCAAGAGGGTCAATGGCAGCCATGTTTATGAAGTGACTGTTTCCAATGCAGAGGTCTGATCCTGGCACAAATAGGAGAGCTGTCCATCTGCACATAAAGGTCAAAGGTCACTCTCTCGAGGATGCCAATGTTCACATTCTGGACAGAGAGGACAGATGGTTTGAAAGAGGAGTGATCCTCGTGTAGAGGATCAATAGGGGGTCCATGACCCTCTTGGGGGGTCACTCCCATAGGCCTTAAATCTGGGACTCGACGAGTTGCTCTTAGAACTGAAGAAGCTTCTCGAATGAAACGTCTTCAAGCAACTCAAAGAAGTCCAGACGCTTTTCTTTCCAAGCTCCTTAGACTACGATGACCTGGATGACTGAGAAGCTTCACAGACAATAAATGTGAACACTTTCTGAACTCAGTATTTTAGTGATGTCGCTGATTTAAAGTCTTACCAGGAGGTTAACTGTGCAGCCAATCTTCTTGTTTTCGGTTTCATCTCCCTTCATACAGTCCCTGAAAAAATGAAACCAAGTTTATAAAACTTCAAACTTAAACCTTCCACACTTACTTATGAACCTCCGCTTTTATTAACTTGGGTGGGTGTTCTCATTTAGCCCAAGCTCCAAGACACTTTTTCCTATGATAGACGTCACAAGATGCCCAACAAGTTTGCAAACAACAAGAAGACTGTTTTTGAAGACGGATATAAATATAGATACTGCAGGTAAAGGAGGGTTCCTGCAGGGAACGTGACTAAGTGCTGGTATTCTACAGACAAAGACTTTTATATGATGGCCCCGTATATGACCTGGGTCTCACAGTGTTTAAAGTTTCTTTGCTCAGTTTAAAGACATTTCAAAAGCACAACAACAAAACCAAACTTTCTATGACTTATGGAGCATAAAGTACCACAGAATCATTTATGTCCTATGAATACAAAGGCTTTACTGTACCGGTAGTCGAGCAGCCGCTCCATCAGTCGTGTGACGGAGGTAACGAAGGAGATGCCCGTCTCTCTCCACGTCTCCTGCTCGATCTTCTCCAGCAGGCTGCAAGAAGCATGCAACAAATTACACACTGGAAACAGATTAAACTGTGGGGACAAACCCACCACGTGCCTCTGGACATACTGTGTGTAAGCACATGTGAAAGTGTGTCGACAATGTTCTACTTTAAAAAGGACGTCAAAAAAGTTCAACAAGAGCAATAAATGAAGCCAAATCTGATGTTTCGTGTTTTAGTGTAACGTTTTTGTCCTGTGTTGTGAGCCATGACTTCGCCATCAGGGAGTTAACAAAGGCTTCACTGAAGGGCCAACAGACTCACAACAATGTCAGGTTAGCAGATAAGAACAGTCAATGTTAGCAGCGTATATCTGCCCATGTGCAGGGAGTGTCATACCTGGGGTAAGGCCCAAACAGCTGGGTTCTAGTCCCGCAGCAGACAAAGCAAACACACAAAGAGAGTGTTAGAGCAGAAAACTGAGAGTTAATTTCTGTTATCAAAGAGAGAAAAGAGCAGCAGGGCAGAGGGATTCGCTCCAGGTTAAAAACAGAAACACGGGGAAGTCAAAGTCTGCGTTCCTCACAGCAAACCGAAGAGCTCCCTGTAGTTCTCGTCTCCTTTCCCCTCCGACACCAAACTGTCCAGCTTGTCAATCAGCTCAGCCTCCACCTGCACACACGTACACAAACGCTCTGACTTCCTCTGGTTTTCTATGAACGACCTGAACAGCCTCTGCACAGCTGAGCGTGTGCTCCTGTACCTGTTTGAAGTTCCCGTTCTTGCGCTGCTCCCAGTCCATCATGTCGTGGAAAATCGGGATCATGATGTTTCGCACCTCCACCTGCGGGACCAGCGTCACTCCCAGGAACGGACCAATCATCCCGGGAATGAAGTGGATCTTATTCTCACCTGAAACACGTTTCAAACATGGATCCAAAACCATTTAAACAGTCAAACTTAAGTCGGACACAACAGTTTAAACCCGACGAGAGGATCGTACCCAGATTCTGCCACATGCTGAAAAGCTCGTAGGTCATCATCACTCTCATGTCACCGTATCTGCAAACAGATCAGATCTTCAGTCACTTTACTTATTGGATCAAACAGTCTCTGTATTACTGACTCTGACTCAGTAACAGCTGTTATATTTGTTTGAAGTTATAAATCTAATTTTATCGTTTAAATTAGTTTTCCGATGACTCAAGCTGTTCACTTTCTGACCACACTGAAACAATTTAACAGCAAAAATACACATTTAAAAAGAAACAGAGTAAAATTTTAATCTCGACTCCCTCATTTCTTAATATGCATCAGCCTAGTTTTGCTCTAATTCTGACAATTCTTGGAAAGTGAAAATGAAAAGTGGAGGAACTTCCAGAGCCCGAGGAGACGCTGCGGTTCCTGGAAATATTTTGTGGAAAGAGCTAATGGAGAAGGGAAATAAGCTCTTCCTGGATTAAATGTTTTTCTGCAGGACTGATAAAGTAAGTTGGCATGTTTGGATGCTTCAAAGAAGAAAACTGGCTCTCAGCATTTTCCCAGCAGTTAACATCCAACATCTGTATGAATGTGTGTGTTGCCACGTACAGAATAGAAAAGATGTTTGGAGGACAGTGCAAAATCTCCAACAGAGGAAAATCTCATCGTAGCACATCGTTCAGATTGTTGTCAGACTTCAGGCACTGTGGATTATGGTATTACCATCCTGCTCTGCTAACATCAGGAAATGTTTCACCATAAGATAAAAGTGATGAAAAGAACGATTTATAATCACCTTCCCTTTAAAGTCGCCTAGAACACCTGACTGTAAGCCACACTGTGGACCTAATAGAAGAACATCCACGGTGTGGTGCATTTTAATGACAATGACATCAGTGAAACAAACAGCACCGTGGGGCAGCTGTTGTTGTGATTGTGTGCTATATAAATAAAATTGAACTGAATTGAAATTAGAGGTCCTCGCTGGTTTGGTCATGATAACAAACAAGCGTCTGCTGCCACAGCTCAGCTTCATCTGATGTTTCACTTCGATCGTCCACAAAAACCCAGCAAATAACCAACTTAGTCTCCTTCAAGCCTGCATGTGCAGCGCTTACCTTTGCAGCGTAGTGTCTGTCCATGCAGCCACCCACTGATGACAGTGATCTAACCCTCACATACTCATCAATGTGAAACATGGCGATGTGGACCCAAACCAACACAGCAGGCACTACTGTTTTTTCCTTTAATCTGTCAATCTTTAGTTAATGGGAACATAGCAGGAAGTGTCAAGTTTACAGTTATTACAGTGAATTTAAAAAAGGAAAACTGGGTATTTATATTTATTTTGGTTCACTGACATAAACACAAAAACTGAATGAATGAACTGAAAGAATTTTGTTTTCTTACAAAAGCAAAAGAACATAAAAAAAACAAGAAAATATCTTTTACCCTTCAGTCAAAGGTCAGATTTGTCATTACATCCTGTCTGATGGAGCAGCTGTTACTGTTTTATTTTTTTTCTTATCCATGTTTTTCTTCTCTTTGTGTGTGTGTGAGAGAGTGAGTGAGTGTGAGTGTCCCCTTACTTGTCTAAGACCTTCTTCCTCTTAGCAGGACTCAAATTTTCCAACTGTAAACTGGGCTGGTTGATGTAGAGCACCGCCAGGCTGAAGTAGGAATTCCACACCTGCACACACACACACACACACACACACACACACACACACACACACACACACACACACACACACACACACACACACTGCTAACGCCACGTTTTCTTTCTTTGCAAACGGCCCTTTGGACGCAGCTTGCACAGTGATGCAGCCCTCACTCTCACTCTTTGCACTCGTCAGTTTTCACATAATGAAGTTATGAAGTTGACATTTTACAAAACTTCAGCCTCACGTCTGTTTCAGTAAATCAGCAGCTTCAGTTCAGTCTAACAGTGTTTCAGCTTTGTTTCATGAAACCACAAAATAGTGACGATATAAAAGAAATAATCTGAATAATATTCATGATTTAGAAAAACAACATTAGTGTTAGTAGTGAGGAGACTCAGAGAGGGGAGGACGGCAGCTTTGTCAGACGCTTGGTTGGGTTTTGTTACACGTGGTCGTTTCCACTGTTATCAGTCACTGTGGTTTGTGCGCACCTGACAGGGTGACGTTAAGTTCAAACTCAAAATTAAAATTTTATTTGTTACACACATAATCATACACAGTACGACATGTAGTGCCCGACCATTAAACTAAGCTACAGAAACTGACAAGATTTATAAAATTTACAGTAAACAATTTGCAGTTAAATAAAAAAGGGTCTAACAAATGTAAACAATAAATTAAGAATTTAACTAGGAAATAAAGACTAAACTGAGAGTTAAAGGTAAATGATAAAGTAGGAGTTACCTTAAAGTCAAAGTCGGCTTCTGTGAAGTTCTTGTGCAGAGCAGGAGAGAGGTACTGCACTGTGGTCAGGATGATGCTGCACAAACACACACATGCATCGCTTTGATATTTACTCCAATGATCCAGCAGCGATCGGACTCAGTCAACACTCGTGTATTTCCAGCCTGTCGGGTAAGTTGGTGTCTTACTTGCTGGTGAGGAGTCTCATGATGTTCCAGTCTCGGGGGAAAATGCTGAGCTTCATCAGATTTCTAAACACACACATGATCTTCAGCAGAAACTCCTGAGCAGAGGGAAAGAGACGAGAGCGTGGATTAAAGATGAAACCTCTCCCTGTTGTCATGTTTCACAGTGAGTCAGGACTTCCGTACCTTCAGCTCATCTTTGCTCTGAAAGTTTTCCATCAGGTGCTGGAAGTGGATATCTGTCATCTGACGGAGAAGCGACAGGAGGCAGGACACGTACTCTCCCTGCCAACAGGAAGCAGGGCACAGTCATGTAAGTGCATGGAAACACAAAGGAGTCAACAGTGAGGTGATGCACCAGGATGAGTCGGGCTCTTTCCCAAACTGACCCCTCTTTATCAGCCTCTCTGCTGGCACCACTTTATGTTTCAGTAACTTTTTCCAGCCTTCATGTAAAGATAAATCTGCAGCGCCACACGCAAGACACGAGGAAATACGAGTTCACTCCACTTTTTTCTAAAGGGCGCTAAATAATTCTCACTCACGCAAACTTCATCAAACCTCTGTGTTGATCTACTGCATTAAAATGCTGAAGTTCAGAGGATGGATTCGTGTTTGAATCTAGTTTTTGTCACCACCTAAAGAAAGATTGTAGTCTGTATTAAAATATGATGAGTGTGAAGTGAGACCCTGCAGGAAACCCGGCGCCTCCATCTGAGAGGAGGAACGACGAAGGAGAACGAAGCAGCTGATCCAAAATAAAAACTCACAAAATCTTTCTGTGTGGCGTCGACACCAATAAGGCATAAAATGAACTGCATTACACCAAAGCATGACATAAACGATAAAGTTGCAAGAACGTTTTTAACATGATGAATTATAATTTCTATAAAAGTTTTAAATACCTATCTACTAAACTTTAACTATCAATTTATCGTTTATAATGACATAAATAGAATATTAACAAAAACAGTTTGTAAACACTTCTTTGGACTCTTTTGTTCTTATTTTTATTCATTGCTTTATTTATTCTTGCTTCCTGGTTAAACAGGAGGGCAGCAGATGAGCAGACTGAGACTGAGCCAAAGATGAAATGAATGTAAATGAAGGTGAACAGTCAACAAAAATGCATCAAATTGAACCCAGACGACTCAGATTCACACATCTGTGATTTAACTAAGATATCGTTCTGCACAGTAATACAAATAAAGATGGAAGTTCTTTAACGCATGCACAAAGAGACGTAAGAGCAGGATGGGTCAGTGATGATGATGGTGGAGTAGGAGAGGGCAATATTGACAAAACCAACAGTTTTCATTTTTATTTTAACACTTTTTGCTTCTCTCAAATCTCCCGTCTTTTATTTTGTTGCCATCATGTAACTGTACGACAGTATAAAGGGACAACAAAGCTATAACATGAATATAATATTGCCCTGCCCTACAGCAGACAGACAGTCAGACGGATGCAGGGTGGATGAGGGGCCGGGAGGTGACGTAGTAGTAGTCGTATTGTTAGTTACTAACAGCGATCTCAGCGGTGCACTGCGGACAGCGTTGACCCCTTACCGCCTCCTGCGATTGGCTCTTGCTCATGATTGACAGCAGGGTTTGCAGGAGGACGTCCAACAGGGACTCCACCATCATCTCCACCTCCTCCTGCACCGACGTGTCCTGGAAGAAGAGACGAAGGAAAGGAGACATAAAGAAAAGGAAACCAGAGCAGAGAAATAAGGACAGCTGCTCTCTGTGCGTTTCGTGTACTTTTATATAGGTTAGTGTCCAATAATGAATTTTGAAGGTTTTTGGAGCTTTGCTGCAGCTGTGTCTCACACATTCCTGCTCCTGAGAGGACAAACCTGACTGAAGGCTCACTGCAACACTAAACATTCACAGTACGTAATGGAAATAAACACTGGTTTCTCACTGGTGCTCACGAATTTCAGTTTCAGTTCAGATCAGATGAAAGTGTCCAAATACTTCAGAGACTTCAGCACCAAAAGCAACGCCTCAGAAGAGAAGAGCGTCATCACTGAACATCACTCATTTCAGGAGCCGTTAATATGTTTTAACCTGACAGCGGTTTGTTTGGCCTGCAGGGGAACTTTGAACGTTTCACTACTTTGATAACAAAGTTCCTGTTAGAGTTGGCAGTTTTTGTCCTCCTGTGAAACTTTTTACCATGTAAACATTTAATAAATGAAGTGCTGGTTTTATTCTAACTTACTTGGTTACGTCTCCATTACTGCATTTGTTCTGCATTTTCTTTCTGATGATCTTTTATTAATTATACTTCAGCCACAGATGATAATTAGGAGTTAAAGTAAATCATCGTCGCAGCACAGGGACACGGCAGCGTGAGCAACTTTACCTGATAAAACTTCTGAAAGATGAACTACATTCAATATTTTCTTAAGCATCATCTTTGGTGACTGCACCCCCACGCACCCCTGCAACAGCTCAAGATATCTCCCCAGAGCCAGAGCAGTTATAAAGCACCACCTCCACCCTAACCACCACCCTTCAACATCCTGCCCTCTGGAAAAAGGTTCAGATCCATCAGGTGCAAAACAAACAGACTAAAGAGCAGCTTCTTCCTGTGAGCTGTCAGAACTCTTAATGCAAACTAAGAGTGTGCACAGACGTCTCCAACACATCCACCCTGACGCTGCTATTGATCATCCATGTGCAATATCTCAGTCTTTCCATGTTCTGTGCAACATTTCTTTGGCGCATGTGTAATATTTAGGTCTCAGTGGAATTATCATCTCCACCCTAAATGATCATAGCCCCTCCACCCTTATTTATTTATGTATTATATTATATAACTGCCCTTGTATACAGCCCCACAATGTTTCTGTTTCAACGTTTCTCTGCATACAGCATGTATGTAGTTCACTCACATATATATTGCTTTTTCTTCCCTCGTTGCATAGTGTTTTCTCTTCTTTACTTTTGCACATTTGTGCTCCAGCTACCCAACTTCGCTGTGCAAGAAACTGCACAATGACAATAAAACTCTAAGCATTGAAGTTCTGTTCGTTCAGTTCACATGAAACAGCAAGTCTGAAGTATTTACGGTGGGCTTCCTGTTCATGTTCTAACCACAGCAGCGCCACATCAACAAAGACCACCATCACACAACTGCAGCCACAGTCTGAACATCATGTTTGTCTCTGTATGATTTCTCCTTCAAATCCTTCCTTAGCCTCATGATGTTTCTTATTCAGGTCAATGAAAAGTGATCATGAAAACACAAAGAAGGTGCTTATTGATTTTTTGAATATGCAGCTGTAACCATGGATTTACTTTTCTTGCAAAGGCACGGACATTTGGTGGAGCAGAGGCTCATGGGAAAGCAAAGGACCCATCTGGTTCACCTTCTACAAAACTGCAAAGCCAGGACTGGCCTCAGCAGGCCTAGCTTCTGGGATAAGTTTCCTTTCAAACCCCACAATGACACTCAGATTTAAATGCAGCGGTGTTTCGAGCGTGTGTGTGTGTGTGTGTGTGCATGCGTGTTACCAGCGAGCTGGTCTTGATGATAGAGAATATAGAGCTGAGTATTCCAGAGCAGATGAGAAGCTCTTTCTGTTGCCTCAAGTGCAGGTGGATGTGATGCAGGACCACAGGAAGTAGGATCCTCCGAGACTCTGAGGGAACACAAAACAGACACACAAGTTTACTTCAGTTCAGGTTTATTTGAGAAGGACCACGCACACGTTACATTATGGCGGTTAGGGTGTCTGTGGATCGTAACCCAACAACATCGCTGCTGTTCACTGGAACAGCAGCGATGCTGCTCAGAGGGAGTCGGCCTCCTGCTCCTCTGGTCTGGTTCATGTCCTGAAACAAATCCATCTGAAAACTGTGCAGCTCTTCAAGCTTTTGTAGCTACAAGTTAAAGGTTACTGTCAAGTTAGTGCCATGAAACAGATTTTAGAAACATTTAATGTCAGTGGGGAGAAAAAAAACAGGGAGGCAATGACGGGTTAACTACACACAAACACCAGAGACAACGCCGACATAACAAAGTCACTTATTATCTGCATTTGAGCGGCTTCGTGGCCGATTACACAGCAGAAATGTTGCTTAGCAACGTTAGCAGACGTGCCGTGCGGAGGTCCTCCCCCAGGAGGGTTCGAACAAAGTTTCACCAGAAAGAATTTTGATGTGTCAGTTTGAGACTATTCAGCATCAGCTGGTGGTACTGAAACTGTCAGGCATTAATTTTGTCTCACCTTCACATTAACACATTCAGTTCTGAGTCATATAGAGAGACTCTTTTGCATTTGTGTGGGTTCACGATTTAGAGTGAAACTCAAAATTGAAAATGTCAGGTTGTAACTGTCTCTTCAATTTGGGGACATAACCTCTTTAGATTAGCGTTCCCTGTTCAGAGATGGTAAACGTGCAGCACGTCGCACAGAGCTGTGGTGACAGTAAGGAATCTCCACTATGTAAATGAGCCTTATTGAAAAAAGGAAAGGTAATGTTACTTTATGTAAAAATACGCATGTCTGAACCATACAGCACTTTCACAACATGTTGGTTATGTAGACGGGTGATTTTAATTTGGCCACAGGTGGATGTGAGAGTTTGTTGTCACTCTGTGTCAGCCCTGTGACCCTCTGTGACGGCTGGGACCCCAAACTATCAGCTGTTAAGAGAATGAACTGATGGACCTCTAGTTGATGATGTATTTGGGTTGCTGCATGTTTGACTCGCTTTTGTTTGTTTTTAAAGTCATTCACAACCTTTATTTTGATTTTAATAGTCCTGTGGCAAAAATCACAGCGCATTACATTAACGCATGAATGAATCCAAACATTTACCTGGGAAAGAGAAGAGCCGGCTGTCCACGGTCCGAGCTATGGACTGCAGCTTGACCACATCCATGGACTGTCCTATGTGCACCGTGGACGGCATGCTGCCCAGGGTGCCGCGCACAAACTCGGCCACCTCTTGCACCGTAAACATCTGCAGCAGCTCATCAAAGATGGCTGGGAACGAGTTCAAAAGTGCAGCCTGAGAATGAAATTAGGGACAGAAGAGGTGTTAATGACAAGAGGGGAGAGGTTCATTTAGGGAGGAGGGCAGCAGGGGGAGTTAGTCAAAAAAAAAAGGTTCGAGTGAACGAGAGAGAGAAGGAGTCGGTTATAAGGAACAATCCTGGTTTCAGTGACTGGAGTGTCCACAGGAGAGAGGTGCCAACCCACACGAGGAGTCATAAACCCACACAGGTCAGCAGGTAGACATCTGTTCAGATTCAGCTATTACAGTTTTTACAAAACAGCTCGTACGAAGAGGCACAGAAGTTATTCCACAGCAGAAAACAAACCAGAGCTGGAAGTGAAAGGTTTGAAAAAAGGAAGACAAAGCACACACACTAGCAAGTCAGGGGTATCAATCATTAATAACATGGTTCAAACAGAGTGAACGGACACAAAGACGGATTTTAGCACAAAGAAGCTGCAGCAGACGTGGCGTTTTGGACAAACAGGTTCATTCTGGTGTGAACTGGACTCAAAGCGGCACAAAACTGAAAGCTGCTGAACTCTGGATGAAAACTTCTTCTCCACTCTTTGTATTTTTACTAACAATATTTCACCTCTTCTAAAAATAAAGATAATCTAAGCCTATGAGGTCCAGTTTTAGTTCCACTTTTTAATGTTTTCTTTAAGAGTTCTTCTGGTGAAAATTGTGAATTTTGGAAAATGTTTAGAGGCCTCATTGAAAAATAGGAAGAAGTACATGAGATTAATTTATTTCAACGAGTTTGTTCTTATTGCGTGAATCAAGGCTGAAAAAGTCCAAATCCTGCAGTACCTGTAAAGGCCACGTGAGCCTGGATCTAAGGACAGCAGAGACGCGTTTACAGCCAAGAAATATTTTTGTCTCTACAGCGAGTGAAGTGAAGAGTTATCAGGAATGATGTCATTAACAAACATGCTCTCAGTCAGAGGACGTGTGTGACCAGCGAGTGCAAGAGGACATCGTGTACTTGTGTGTTATATCAGCCGGGACGTGTGTGCGGAGGACCACAGGTGTGTGTGTGGTTAGAGCTCTCTGAGGTGAAATGGGACTCTGGGCTTCACGGGGTTAAAGGGGTGCTGTGGGTTTCTTCCAGACGTTTACTTACTGACAGCGGAGTCGGCCGCAGAGCGTTGGCGCTCACGGCCTGAGTGCAGTTGGCCTGTCCGCTGCCAGGAACCTGTCCTGGGACAGTGGACTGCAGTTGGCCCGGGGCAGGAGCTAGTGCTAAGGGAGCGGGAAGCCCGGCGCCGGGACCTGGGACTTGATTTGGGCCCGGACAAGGCTGGGGGCCCTGTGGTATTTGGGTGTGGAGGAGACCCAGGAGGAATAATAGGGACCCAATTGAAGGAGCAAAGATTTAGGGGAAATTGAAAGAGAAGATGAGGAAAGGAAACAAGGAAAGATGCGAGGTACAAGTGGAAAAAGGAACAGAAGTGAAATAAAAGTCAGATTAAGGCAACTACAAGAAGATGGGAAGCAGCTAAACTAAAGTGCATTTTACTGTTAGCTGTCTACTGTAAACTATGACGACACAACAGTTTCAACATCAAAATCACAACAATAAACGATTTTTGTCTGCTTCATAAACAAGGAAGAAAAATGTTTTTGTTCCAAGTTTCCTCACCTGAGTGAAGATGAGCGTCTCGGAGTTGCGGCTGTCCAGGCTGAGCACGAAGCGGATCGACTGAAAGAGTTCTTGGACGCTGGTGCGAAACTGCTCCTCCTCCATGCCACACGTGGCCCGAGAGTAAAGGATCCGAGACTGGATGATGAACTTGAACAGATACTCCAAAGCCTGAGAGGACGTGCAAACAAAGAAAAGAGAAGCATGAAATATTCACTCGGGGTTTTTTTGTTCTAGGAGAAACACAAACCTCAAATGTTTTAGGAGTACAGTGTTCCCTCGTTTATCACGGATGTTGATAACCTGCGAAAGGTGAAATCTGCGAAGTAGCGAACGTTTTGTTTTTTACAACTATCATAGATGTTTTAAGGCTGTGAAACCGCCTCACTACACACTTTATACACTTTTCTCAGACAGGCATGAACATTTTCACACATTTCTCTCGTTTAAACTCTTAAAGTTCAAACCTTCGTAGAAGAATACGTCCAGTATTATATATATATATATGTAATTTAAACTGTTTCCTCTCTGTTTTATATTTGTAGCACTTTGGTCAACATTGTTGGATGTAAAGTGCGTTATAAATAAAGATGCTATGCTAAAGAAACCAAAGATAAAACCCTGTTTTCAGGTCCAGAACACGGGAACAGAGCAGCTGCCAGAGAATTCAACATTTATCGATCAATGGTACGGACGTAAAGGAAGCAAGAAGAATGAGTTGGGTGAAGTTTGACTTATCTGACTACTTTGTTTCACTTAATGCTCCTTAGAATCCTTTGACGTCGACACTGTTGTGTTTGTTGTCTTGCAAAGATTTATGTAAATTGACAAGCTGAACGCATTCTGTGCAGTACAGGAGACACGGCACGAGATTGATTGAAAATGGTCTACAGCCAATCAGGACGCAGAACGCAATGCGCTGCAAAAACAAAAAACAACGTGAAAATTGCACTAAAAAAATCGGCGAAACATCGAGGCTACGAAAAGTGAACCGCGATGTAGCCGTGTACACTTTTTTTAAAGGATGGGTAATTTAAGTTAAATGAAATATTCCCTCTTTAAGCTTTAGTTTCTCTTAGTTCGAGCATCAGATTACTTATTTTAAATGAACAGGAGGGTTTCCTCAGAGTTCAGAACAGAGACTAAAACACAAACTTTGACTCACAATCATGTAGCTTGTCCAGGTTTTAATAACATGAACGCCAACGATGCTTTTAGTGACAAATATGACCAAACTGACAAAGACTTAAAAAGACTTCCTGTAAATTTTATTTAACGACATTATTTTCAGTTAGCTTGTTTTTCTAGTTTCCTTTTTTTTATTGCTTCACAACCAGTTTTAGTTTTTAGTTTAGTTCAGTGTATTAATCTCGTTTTTATACTTCCACATTGTGCCATTCTGTGCAAATGCACAGAAGACATAAAACTGTCTGTAAACTCATCACTCTGTCACATGGTTGTGGGGGAACTTCGGCCGCTCATTTAGCTCGTGCTCTTGTTCTTGTGGGTTTGCGAGACTCATTGATGCACAGCTCCACCTCTGTCTGAGCTGTTTGTGCTGATATCCTGTGTTGGTTTTACCCAAACATGGTGCAGTGCAATACGAACACTTTAGTTCACAAATCTTTGTGGTTTGTTCAGATGCAAATCAGAGAAGAGATTTTCTCCTGGCAAACCTTCTGACTGTGCTGTCGTGAACTTTAAAATTTAACATGCTAACCGAGGCTTTCGAGTCTGAGACGGAGCTTTTTGGTGTTTTGCAAACCCTCTGAGGATTGCACGGGTTGAACATGATGATAGTCAAACATGCACATTTGCAGCTGGCAGTAAGGTTGCACGTAAGTTTTTTACAGGACTGCGTGTCCACATTAACCAATGACTGTGTGTCAAAAGCATGTCTGAGTTACAAACTGTGAAATCCCCACTGAGGCTGGTTTGGTGAAACGCGTGGTTATCAGGATGTGAGATCAAATTCTGAAGTCTGAAGACTGCTTACTCAAAATGTTTGCTGGCTTTAAGTCTAGTTTTGTTTTCTTTTTTTCCTTTTCTTTTTGCAAAACCTACCAGCTACAGATAATTAAAAGTGTTCTTTTCATCTGGAGCTTACGCCTTTATCACATCTGCAGGAGACAAGATCCTATTTGTATCTGGACAGAGATCCCAGGATGCACCAGGACAGAAACATCTGCAGCATCTGGGCTGCTCCTTGTTTACAGCAATGGTTAAGAAAGTTAGTGGAAGAATAAAGCAGACAGAAACAGGCTAAAACTCCTTGGACGCAGTTTATAAAAGATAAATCTGGAGACTGCAGCATGTGTCAAAGCTGTCCTCAATAATTCACGCCGTCCACTTTTTACATGACAGTGTGACCCATTTGGGATGGATGCTTGAGTCGGATAAATATTTTAACGTGCTGAGCAGCGTTTGTCTACTAAATGTGGTACGTTCTGCACATCTGTGTGGGATGGTGCATCTATTCCCAGCTCTGCTACGTCACTGATGTAGTTCTGAATGCATGCAGTCATATTTTACCTGAGAAGAACGTCCAGTGGGAGGAATTAAAAAGTTGAAAAGGTGTTTTTTTGTTTAAAAAGCCTTTATGGTGAAGACTGTTATATAAAACTCAGTGAAGAGATGAAAAATGCCAACAGCCCTTCATGTGTTTGATTATTCGGAGTTCAGTGTTCAGGTCAGTGCTCCACCCAGGTGGCACTGAGCTCTTACCCTCATGGCTTCCTGTATGTGGTCCTGCCTCACCACCTCAGCAGAGCGATCCATGTACCACTTCAGACAGCGGATCAGCTCCCTGAAACACATTTAAAAAGCCACACAGGGTTGATTCTCTGCACTGGAAGGAGTGCAAACGTAGCATTACTTTAATAAAGGACCCGTTCAGCCCAGGATGGCTCTGTAAATAAATGCTTAGATTTTCCTTTTGTTGTGATAGTCGCAGCACTCTGCAGGACCAAACATGTACGGAAATACATCACAAAGACCTGAAAAACTAAAATTTGTGCAGTTATAATAACTATATGTGTCTTTTTTTATTTTCTGCCAGTCGACCCGAGATCGAGATCTTTGTTTCATCCTCTATAAAATATTTAGTCAGTGCAAAACTAATTTTCAGACTCTTACTAAAAGCAAAACTTCTCATGTAATATATCTGGATGAGGTCAAAGTTAAATGAGCATGAAAAGCATGCAATCCTACGCCAGTTTTCCATACTGTATTTATCTCTGATGCCCTTGAGCCACCGTGATGAAATAAATCCAGGAGAAGTCAAACTGCAATAAAGGCAAACGACGTGTACACGAATATACAATCACACAGGCTGTTAGTTAGAGAGCAACACTCACTTGTAAGCTAACGCTCCAGCAAAGTGCTTCTGGATGTAAGTGTCCATCACCGGCCTGAAGTGGTAGTATTTACTGTCCCTGAGCAGGTTTATAATGAACACCTGTGAGACAGACAGAGACTGTGATCAGTGAGTGTGATGCTTGAGTGACGCTTAAATGCACAGAAAATGAATCATGATTTACAGTCGCAGTGAAAAAAGTACGGCCTCTTTCAAAGCGAAGGGTTTAGCTATAAAGAGATTTAAAAAGGAAATGGTGCTACTAGCCCTCATGTTTGGAGCAGTTAAATAGAAGCTCAGAGGAACCTGAACACATAGCATTTTATACCATGTCATTACTTATGAAACACAAACTGAGCCACAGTGCAGAGGCAGTGTGTGAAAGTCTATCACACGATGCAGCAATAACTTCATCTCTCTCATCGTCATCGACAGTCTGCTGCTGTGCTTGGGATCATTGTCCTGCTGAAGCTTCTGACTGGACAGAGCTTTTCATACGTTGTTGTTCAGCTCGTATTTACAGATGTGCAGGCACCAGGTTATTGTTTATATTTTAGTGCTTTCTTTGTGATCATGTGATCATGACCCCACAGTATTTTATTTTCCTGTTACAGCGTAACCTTCTTTCATCACCCACCCACATTTTCCAAATTTAACTGTAACTCTTATTCCTGTTGCACAGTCATACTGAAATTAGAGTAAAAAAAATGACAGAATAAAAAGTCTTTCAGCTTTCAGGGTTTAGGGTGTGTCAGAGCTCCTGTTTCCAGTAACTCAGAGGATGACATCAGTGGGACTGAAACTGACAGTTAGCCTCATCTGTATTAGATTGTTTCTTCTGCAAGTCTCTAAATCCTCATTATTAAATTTAATGAAACTCATTATTTGTTACTTTTGTTTGTTTACTTTATTTTCTCCTTCTTCGTGCACTGCCCACGCCACACTCACCAATGACTGAAAAACCAGCGGCCCATATTTGTCTGTGTTGTCATCCAAGATGGAGAACAAGGTGTCCAGAATGTCCTGAAGAAACTGAGACACACACACACACACACACACACACACACACACACACACACACACACACACACACACACACACACAATGACATGTCTTCAGTTTAGTAAACAGCTGCTGAAAGTCCTGCTGAGGAAAATGGCTTACATAATGGCGGAAAGAAATTTTCCGTTATTAGTTATTTATGAACACCACATGACAATTTTTAAAGAATCAAACCTTTTCATGGTATCCTCCCAGTTGCTGGTTGTCTACAAGCTAATGTTAATGGGACCACAGGAGTATTACAACACCTGTAGAGCTCTTTTAACACATGCTTTAAAAAATCACCTCAAACCACCTCAGAGATCACCAACAAACACGTCCTGCCCAGCAACATGGCAAATGTCTTACACAGCAAATCTGGCACAGCTACAGAATATTATGATGATCCACGATACAAGTGTTTACACATATTAAACAGAACAATCTCCCCACCTGTTCGACTTCAAACCTCACCTTGACGATCTCTTCTCCGCTGACATGCCGAAGCCGTCCAAGGATGTCCATGACCCGGTCGGGATGGGCCTTCCACTTCAGCAGGGCCAAGAGGTCCACTGGAAGACAACAGGAATGTCAAACACCAGGAAAAATGGAAAAAGGCTCATATTCAGACTTCAGCCTGTGAGCAGCAAAACAGCCGTTTAATATGTACAATGGAGTAAAAACTGTCATAAATGAGGAAGCCACTGTTAGCGCAGCACAACGGCTGAAAGCAGGTGTCTGTATGCCAGAACCATAATAGATGGTGACAGTTTTTCCTCACTTTAATGCTGTCACCTCAAGCTGCTTTATGTCAGGTTACGACTACAATATCAGAAAGAAACGCCAACAATCATACGAGCCCGTATATGCAAACACTTGGTGACAGTGGAATTAAAAACAGTCTGAAATTCTCACGTGTAATCGTGCATATTTAAGCACATTATCCACGAGCGGCTCAAACGCCGGCTGCAGATCAGCTGCGTACCGTTCTGGGTGAGCTTGGTGGAGGAGAGCTGTGTGGAAATCCAGAAGGTCTCTTTCATGCTGCGCTGGAAAATGAGGCTGGAGGGGATGTTGGGACAGCTGTTGAAGTCCTCCTTACAGCAGGGCAGCCCCAGGTAGAGGGCGTGGTTACTGAAGGTCGTGTTTTCATCACACTGAGGACACGAGACACCGAGAAGGAGGAAAGGAAGGAAGGAAAGCGCTTACAATAGATCTGTGCACCTCATTGACAAAGTGTAGCTGCAAAACTGAGTCAAAAGCTGCAAACATGAAGCTTGTGTGTGAACACTGTACAGCAGGAGTGTCCAACTCCAGGCCTCGAGGGCCGGCAGGTTTTAGATGTGTCCTTGATCCAGCACAGCTGATTTAAATGGTTAAATCACCCCTTCAACACGTCTTGAAGTTCTCCAGAGGCCTGTTAATGAACTAATCGTCTGATTCAGGTGTGTTGACCTAGGGTGAGATCTAAAACCTGCAGGACACGGCCCTGAGGCCTGGAGTTGGACCTGCTGTACAGTTTTGGTGAGCAACAGTAAAGGTGTTGTGGATATCATGTACAAAGTGTACACAACATTTAAAGTGAACTTTATAGTTATACTGTGAGATTACTGAAGTACAGTTCACATATATACTAACTAAATATTGTCATTTCTGCTGCAATCATCAGCCAACAGAAAGACTCCTCTGCAGAATAAATGACGAACGTGTGATGAAGGCTGATGAGTAGCAGCCAGGAAACAGAAAAGCTCTAGTGTAGCTGACCTTGTAGACATACAGCTCGTGGCTCTCATCAGAGAGAGTAGTTCCATCCTCTCTCATTAGAGGTGTGAAGGCAAAACCAAACAGCTTTTTCTCCCCTTTGTCCTTTGCTGCAGAGAAAATGACGAAGAAGGAACATGTGAGAGGAGAAACGCACCGAGTGTTCGGTCAAAAAGCACCGAGGTTAAATGTCTCTCAGATTATTAGAGATGTATTCAGAAAACCAGTTCATTACTTCACTATTGTAGACAAAGTGATACAGCCTGCATATAAGAAGGTCAAAGAGTAACTTGGTTATGCTTTTAATGTTATATTTAGATATATTTTCTATAAATGTCACCACCTGCTTGAAGCAGCACCTAATCAGTCTGGGAGGATTATAGTGAGCAGCCAGCTGCTGTATCTGCATGCCAAGAAATGCAGATGCACCTGTCACGGTTCTGGGTTTTATTTTTACAATAAGCCTGTGCTTGGATCCTCATTTATTTTCTCCACACGGATCATCCCATTAGCCATGACAGCCCCAGTATCAACACAAGTAACACACTCACTGGAGCAGTGTCTGAACTCGAAGCGCAGGTGGGACCCTCTGAAACGGTCGATGGGAATCGGCAGTTTGATCACCTCGCTCCATCGCGGGCTGTTGTTATGGTAGAGCACAAAGGAGCGGTGCTCTGGCACGTTGGGCTCACCTGAACCCAGACTGATGCAGTCCTACGGAGCATGTGCAGAAGCAGACAAACAACGAGATCAGTGACACTGCAGTTACAGAAATATGTACCAAGAGAAGAAGAAGAGTTACCCAGTGAGAAAAAAGCAAAAAATACCTTAATCCACTCAAATACAGAAAGTATGTGTGGATAAAACTCACACACAATCCTTTACTAAGCACATACACTGTTTGGTTGTGCTGTGAGTCATTCAGCATTTCTTTTGTACATGTTGAAAAGAGCAGTGTCTTCTCTCACCTCTAACTGTGGTGACATACTCTGAAAATTTGAAAAAGGCCAGTTGTGGGCCACTGACCGCGGCACACCTGCACCAGGGTAAACCTCCGCCTGCCGCACTCCTGCTTTACAGGTGAAAATAGAGCAACAGGACCGCTGAGTCTTTGACTTTATTTATTTTCTGCTGTGTTTTACTTGCATCTATTTGAAAGACTGAGTGTAAACACACAAAATATTTTATTTTATGTGCTGGAATGTGCAGAAAATAGGTTTAAATGTTAAACTAATTTATTCAAGTCAGAGAATGTTGCATATAATTAAATGTTTGCTTGATGCATAAAGTTAAAAGATTAAAAAAAAAGTTTTAAAAAGAGACTTTTCCATTTGATTACATTTTGTGTGATGGATTATGCAGAAAAAGTAGAATTGGGCTGAAAGATCTATCACTTTATCACCTCTTCAGGTTGTAAATTGTGTTTTTAAAAAGTAACTAATTACTTTTGAAAATAAGTAATCAGTAAAGTAACAGGATTACTTTTTGGGGGAAGTAATCAGTAATTAGTTACTGATTACTTTTTTCAAGTAACTTGACCAACACTGGTGGGCAGCAACTAACTTAAAATGTTTATTGTCACTGTGGGTTTTTTTTTTTTTCAGATTTGATTCATATATTATGCGTTTATATTGTCTGTGTTTATCATTTTATGTCTTACGTTTTTACTTTTTTCTACATATATCTACAAAATAAATACATAATTAAGTACTACTTGTTATATTCTGGTCTCATTCACGACAGACTCCAGAATATCTATTTCCTACCCAACGGGGTAGTGAGTTTTATTAACAAGTCATGCCACTCAGATTGGTCCTCTGCCATGTTCAACAGCAACATACAGCCTAACAATCCTTACTTGTGTGTCACTCTAAAACGTTTTACTGTTTTGGAAATGTGTTTTGCTTGGTCTGCACAAAAACCAAAAACAATTCAACTTTGATAACAGATATATGATTAACTTGTTACTTTTAATGGCTAAATTTCATATTCACAAGTCCAAATGTTTAGGAAGACATCCCTCTTTTTATGTATTCTCCTTTGAATTTGTACAGTATCTTAACTCAATTAAGAACTCCACTAACCCAAAAGCTATAAAAACTATTGGTGTTTGTGAAAAAATCAAGATCTTTCAATCACTTTATTCTTTGGCTTGATCAGTTACTTTCCCCCTAGCATATTTATGTTGTTGTTTCTGAATACTGTTCTTGTATTTGTTTATCTATGCATAGAATTCTTTTGTAAGTACAACACCATTAATATAGTACTGTTTAATTCCATTTTGTATTGTACTGATGTTTAAATAAAGGTTTATTAAAAAAAATGTTGTTCTAGGATCAACATTGCAAGTGACCAATCAGAATGTTGTGACGTCATACTTTTGCGACTTCGGTAAACACCGGCGTAAAACAAAAAACTGTACTTAAGCTGCGTGAAACCGCCTCTGTCCGCCGATCAACAGACCCTGACCCTAACCCTTTAATAAACAGTAAGCAGAATTGATATTGTCCTTGCAACATTGGAATTTCATAAATGCACGAATGGCTTGGCGCGCAAAAGAATAACGTCACAACAATGTGATTGGTCACTTCCAATGTTGAACCTGGAACAACATTTTCATTAGTGATGTGCGATACCACTGATTTCCTTTCCGATCCGATACCAAGTAATATTCAGGGTGGTATCGACGATACTGATCCGATACCGATACTTTGTACAAAACGGATTTTATTTATTGTATCTCAAATTATAGCGTCATAATGATTACAGGACATCAGAATACCTTCTTCTTATCACTTAATAATGCAGAGTTCATCATATAGAAATAAAAAAACTAAAGTTGTGTGCTATTTGAACACCTTGCCTGCCTGGAGGACTAAAGGACTCCGTGAGAGACTCTCACCCTAGCAGCACCTGTCCCTCTCCTCCTCTTCAGTTCGCCTCAACATACGCTCGTCATATTTTGTGATATGATTTACTCTGAGGTGTTTGACAAGGTTAGTGATGTTGCCACAACCATACATGCCAACCCTCCCGATTTTTCCGGCAGAATCCCACCTTTCTCCAGATTTTCCACCCAGACAACAAAGTTGAAAAACCATATCGCAGAATTCCTAGCATGGCCCAGCCAATTCCAGTTTCCAACAATGACGGCAGCGACTTAGTTTTAATATCACTCTTATTTCTCTTTCTGGGTCGCAAAAAAACTTTTAACATATTTTCAGGTGAGAATGTAGCTGTGTAAACTTCAAATATCTGAGCCGACCAACACATCGTTTTCAAACCCCCGCGGTCTTTCACCACTCGGGTTAAACATGATGTACAAGTCACTTTGATAACTTAAAAATGTTCTTGTTTGGCTTTTTCAGTGTTTTATTTGTTCGTGAGTAAATCGGTTTGGCTGAGATTAAAGTTATTAGATTAGATTAAATTAAATTAAACTTTATTATTCCCTCGGGAGGGTTCCTCCGGGGTTTTCACACAGCTGAACAAACGTCAAACAGAAAACTGATTAAACAGAAGAGTTTACGTCAGTGTCCGGTTATATTTTAGACAGCAAGGAGCAGACGGCAGAGTTTCACTCCACCGAGGGAGCTCGTGACGTACTACCCGGCTTTCTTTAGACCGCGAAGGCCGGTCCTCAGGTGGAAGCAGCCTCTGAATTTGGACACCCCTGCTGTTTCCGGGCCGGCCAATAATAACGGTGACATTTAACGTATTTTATCCGATAAATAAACCCTGTAAAATATATTTATCCGCCCAAACAGCCCTTTTGAATGTCTCCCTAATTCTGAGGTCTCAAGGTTGGCAAGTATGGCCACAACACCTCACTTTTTTTGCCACATTTATTGCAAACCACGGCTCAGCTGTTTGTGGAGGTAAAATACATCCGCACAATTACGCTCAGCCATTGTTGTGAGTGCGCACGCCAAGGGGCTGCGAGACATTTATACAGCCGTATTTCGCACATGACTATGAAAGGCGGAAGAGGAAGTAGTTCCTATGAATGTAGGCAATCCGAATGTTATAGTTTCTTTCCACTGTGTTCCTGTTAATGATAAACTACAAATTTACTCTAAATTACTAAAATATCGATATTTTAATGTGAGAATCGATTCTAGAACATAAATGATTGGTATCGGAGGAATCGATATTTCAGGATCGATCCGCACATCACTAATTTTCATGGTCTGGGAACAACACCGACACTAGTATATCAGATCATCCGCTCAGAACAGGGACTTCCACGAGTTTCTCTGAATCGACAACAATGAAACGCTTCGCTGCACTTATCCTGATCGTCACCACATCGCTGACTGGTAACACTGTGTAAAATGTATATTACTAAAAACGTTGTACGGTCTTTTATGTACAGTAGCAAAGTGTCGAGTCGTGCCGTGCAGCAGGTGGGTTACTGGATATTTGAGAAGATGGTGTCTGTTATCGGATCAGCAAAAAAACGCCAAATGTGTCAACTGTGACACTTGTGAGGTTATCTCAAACACACTCCGTCAGTCTTGATGCTGTTGAACAACAAAGTGTTTAAAAATGTGGCGAGTTTACCTGGTGATATCCTCATGCGCGACTCGATCGCGAAAACAGCAAACAATTAACACCAACATGTGAGTGAAGTTGGCCCCCCCACCTTCTTCAAATCCAACAAAAGTGGTATCAAACGTTTGTGCTGCAAAAATTTTCGTTTGTGCTGCTATCATTTTAAAGATATTAATAAAAATTTCTAGAGGTCATGGACTGGCGTTGTACCAAAAAGCGATCGCCTGCCAAAAACTGATTTCCAATGTTTCAGCGTGTTTTTTTTGTTTGTTTGTTTGTTTTATGCGTAATATGTATGTTTGTAAATGGATTTCGGTGAACTTCGGTCTTACAAAAGACATTTTTAATGTTAATGACATTTTTTAACTGCACAAATAAAGGATATATAAAAGTCCCTGCTAAAAACTGTTTGCGGCATCTACCTTTTTACAGGAATGTTGTTTGTGGCTCAGGATGACTTAATATCATTCATGAGGGATACATTTGACATATGTTTCACGTATTATAGACTAACAAGTTATTTATAGCAGTTTAAATACAAGCAATCAGTTTTTGGCAGACAATCGTTTTTTTGGCCCACCGGGAATTTTCCCGGTGGGCTGATGGACAGAGGCGAAATTAATGCGGTAAGAAACCTGATGGATGGACGTCATTAGAAAGTGACAGATTGAAGGATTCAGGTAAAATGAATGGCTGCCTTTCCTAATAGCTAAAGTGTAGCTTTTAATTATAAGCAGGGCAACTAAGAACCTAAAACAGCTGTATCACCGTGATTAAAGAAAAGCCATTTCAATATCAATTATCAAACAAAAATGTGTGTTTGTATATATTTATTTTTACATGTTATTTCTACATGTTTTTCAGTGCCCACACTCACTAAAGTGATCGTGGAAGAAGGGAGCGCTGCCGTTCTGCCCTGTGCTCTCAGCAGCAAACAGGACATCACTAATGTCCTGTTTGACTGGAAGAAGGGTCATCAGGAGGTGTTTATGTATGATGCTGGTGTCCATTACAATAATGGACGACCAGGCCAAGATGGGCAGTTCAAAGGTCGGGTCTCTCACCTGGAAGAAGAACTGAAACACGGTAACGCCTCCATAAGGATCAACAACACCAGGGTGTCTGACAGTGGGAACTACGTGTGTCTTTTTCCACGGCTC